TAACTTTCATAAATGCTGCAAAATTAAAGCAGCTTGTGAGCTTTTGATTCTAATACAATGCACTCGACTTTCCTTTTCTCAAGGAAATGAAAACAAAGTCTGAGAGGAAATAACCCAAGATTTTCTTTTTCTCCTCAAGATGTCAACTCTCCTGACTTCTGTGACACCCATTGCACATTTTATTGTTTTACTCACTTTGATTGTGTGTTTCTTAACTGTAGACTCTATGTAAAGAAATAGAGAGGCCATCTGGGGCCAGGCTGAATCACAGTTCAATGAACAAAGATGTGTTTTAGATTCTTCAGTTACTGAAACTGAATAACTCTTATTTTCTTAAAAGCAGAGCAGATTCCTAGAGTTTATAACATTGAAATAAATTCTTGATCATCTTATTCCTATTTTTCTTTACTCCAGGTATGTACTTATCAGATATCAGAAAGTCTATTAGCTATAAGCAGTGAGTATTTTTAAGTGAAAAAGTAAATTGTTCTTTTTGTTGGAAAAAGTTATAATTTATCAAAGTAGACACTTTTCAGGAATTACTAGTAAATTTTCTCCAGGTTTTTTTTTTAATTTGTTTCCTACAGAGTCAGCTGGGTCAGAGAGAAGGCATTAAGAAGAGATCTTCTACTGGCCTGGTTGCTGAGGGCAAAAAAGCTTTGAGGGTAGTTTGGAACAGAGGTGATCAGAAAAAGTTACAGAAGTAAATGTGGCTCCCAAGCACAGAATGATGAGTCAATCCTGGGAACATTGTCAGGAACAGATGATGACAGTGAAGGTCAGTCCAATAAATGGGCAGACCTGGAGATTGAGTTCCAGAATCAATGATGCAAAAAAGAAAAGGCTGGCATACCTGTGGTCTCAGTCCAGGTGAGGCAAAGCTCAAGGATGCTTGTTAAGGCTCTAATCTAGGTGCTGGGCAACCCTGTTGACTTTGTCTTTGCAAAACAGCAACTTCCAGCTTCACATCCAAAGAGAGTCTTTATAACCACTGATATGAACACGCGTGGTGAGAGTTGGGTATCAGTCCTGATTAACTCCTTCAGTCAATGATCAATGCAGATAAGTTTTCACAGGGGCAAGAAGATACCTCCTTCTTCAGCTGCTTTCACAGTATGGAAAATAAATGTAATTTTTGAGCATATTGCTTTAATGATGAGAATGATGTTTTTCTTAACATCACAACAGCTTGGCATAAAAAAATAAAACTGTATAAAAGTTAAGAGTACTGTGCACTGTCACCCTCAATGACTCAGAATTACAGGTAAAGCCTCAGAATTGCCATACCTCTGGGCTTCCACTTGGTGGACA